GGGCATGGAAACTTCACTATAAAGTATAAATGCAAAGTACAATCTCTATGATTGCAATAGCTGACTTAGAGATAATTGCAAAGATGTTGCTATGTATTCCAAAACAAAATGAATGAGCAAAATTCTACCTCCCCCCCCCCCTTTAAAAAAAGGAATCTCTTCGCTTGTTTGGCTAGTAATACAACCATTATATTGTAATACATTGGTCAAGGTGTTGGGCTTGGTCAAGAAAATGCAGATGTAAGAACCCAACTGCCCATAGTTTAGCAAGTGACTTTGGGTCATTCATCTTCTTTTAACTGACCCTATTTCACAGGTTCTTGTAAAGATAAAATTAAAACATTATTTCAAGTACATAGACAGAAATAGGCTGGAAGAGGAATAAAAATGGAGACAATCAAGCCATCTTTGCATAGTGTTTCCCCACTTGTCTTGGGAGCTATGTTTGGACAAAGATCCTGTTTAACCATTTATAGTACACACTCCTTTGTCCTGCAATGCACCATTCTTGAGAATCAGATCACTAACCCAAACCCTAACTGTGAAATAATTAATTCTGCATTCTTTGTTCAAGGAGAACTAGCAAGCATACTGTATTAATTTTCTGGTCTATTTTTGTTATTTTGTCTAGATACATTAATACTTCAACTGTGTACAACAAATGTCAGCATTAAGGATTCATTGGAAGAGTAGTGTGGCTTATTAATAATTTCTCCTCCTCCTTGGAACGGCTTTCTACACGACCACTTTTTAGGAAATCTCTACCTACTGTACCTCTATGTTCTACAGATTTTTAAATGGTCCAATAGCTGGAGTTTTATTTACTGATGGTTAGTGAAAGCACACAGCTATGCCAAGCAACCATGCATTATTAGGCCTATGCTAATTGTTACGGTAAAATATGTGTTGCCGCTTCATCCAAAATGTATATTACATGGGATCACCATTCCACAATGGTTCCCACATGTAGCCCATAAGTGTAGTGCTGGTAAAGGTGCAGATGTTAATACCTTAATATACCTACAAAGCATTGGAGAGACTTCATGGGATTCTGGTACAGAAATTGAGAAATGTGAGGTTGACGTTGTTGTTCCAGAAGACAAAGACAAGACAAGAAGTAATGGGTCTAAATTAAAAAGAAGGAGATTTGGGCTAGGCATCAGGAAGAATCTATTACAATAATGATGAGATCTGTTTGACAATGGCTTTTGCCAAATGACCATCTGTTGGCAGTGCTATAGTAGATCTCATTGGGATTGTGATTAAGATTGGTCAAGTAACTAGAAACAGAACAGGAGTTTAGTTCAAAGCACTTCACATTTATTTCATGCTACCCAGGGGTGGGATTCTACTGGTTCTGACCTGTTTTATAAAACCCCTTGTAAACTGTCTAAGCAGTTAGGAGCAATCTCTGGTAGTTAGAAGCAATCTCCTTTTGCTTTTTTCCACCCTTATTACATTCTTGCCAGTATGCCTAGACTTCCTGTCTCTGGAGCTTCTGGGGCTTGACTTTCTTAAAAGAGAAGGGTTGTTTTAAGATTTTTACACTTCTGTTGGGAGGAAATACTTCCCTGGACAATCAGCACTTTGAAGAAATAATTGAATAATGAAGCAGAGCTGTCAGAAAGAAGCTTTTAATGACAGGGAACCAAGATGAGTGACATTCAGCAAGGCTACTTGGCTAGCTAGAAAAATTGACATTCAAACATGAGTTTACATACCCTTTCTGAGTTTTGGTCTAAAACTGGTTTTTGGTGAAGGTTAATTCTGTGCTTGGTGACATTTAATCCTGTGTTTATTGATGGGATAATTTTCCCTATTCAGCTTCAACAAGCAACAGCTACTGTTATGATTTAATTATTTGTATTGTGTTTGAATTTTTTCCTGCCTCATGTTTTTTTTTCTATATGGGGAGAGAGTCTTCCTTCACTGGTTTAGTGGTATCTGGCACTGTCCTTTTGGGGTGTACTTCCAAGAGGCAGGATGCAAGCTTGACACTGATTTTTTTACTGCTTTTCTGGGGGGCATGTGACCTTTCCATAAATCTGGATGATTTCCTTAGGATATCTTGTGAGGTGAGTGAGACCAGCTTTAAGTGGTGCTAAGCATTGCTTTTCCTGGGTGTGCTTTTTCTGGAGAGCTTAAATGACCTCTCTGCTAAAGGGTTTCACTTTATGAGCAAGACTTGGCTGCTTGATAGTTATCACTGCATTTTAACTATTTTAATTCCTCAAGGTGCTATGGAACCCTGCCTGATTTGTAACTCCAGCTGCAGATATTTTTAATCTAGTGATTGGTATTTAGGGCAGCTTTTTGCAAGTAAAGAAGCTTTTTGTATTTTTGTACAGGTAATCCTTGACTTACAACAGTTGATTTAGTGACCACTCAAAGTTACAATGGCACTGAAAAAAGTGACATGGCCATTTTTTCACACTTATGACTGTTGCAGCAGCCCCACTGTCATGAGAGGCCAGGCGAGGAGAAGCGCCCTTTGACATAAGTGATGTCGAGTTGGCCATGCCCACCCAATCACATGACCACCAAGCCACACACACCAACTAAGCCACGCCCACAGAACCAGTTGTTAAAAAAAATTGAATCCCACCCCTGATGCTACCTATACACAAGAATCTGATCTACTAATAGTCAAGGCAAACTGATGCTAGGATAAGAGTAACAAAAGGGGCCGGAGTCTTGTCATCAAGTTAATGATGTTTTTGACCCCACCCTCTTGACTATAGTTTCCCAGTCTGATGCTTTGGACTGGACTGTCTCTCCTTCTCTCAATAATATATAAACATACCATCAGAATCTCAATCTCACAAGATCTCTAGCAACAACAAAAACAATGTAATGGTCTTTTGAGATTTTAACCATTTAAAAGCAGCTAGTTTGCAGATGCATTTTGCCCACAGATATCATCTACCTGACCTCTTTCACATGTGCTGGTTCTCCAAAAAAACTTGTGATGACAGCTTAGTGATCTGTCAAAAGAAAAGGCTAAGAATGAGTCCTTACACACTTGTCTGCCTCCACATGTTTACAAACACTTCAATTGCAAAACTGGATATTCTTTTAAGTATTTCTTCCTACTGCTTCATCCCTTTGATCAGAAAGAGCCTACAAGATTCACTCCTTTTATTTAAAAGGATGTTATGAAGATTTCCGAAAAGAAAAATACTGACTATAGGTTCTGAGTCTGACCCCTCCACCCCCAGCCAAGCCATAAATCCCTTCCCACCTCTTCAGCTACTTCCAGACAGACCTTTTAACATGCAGCATGCATGGTTCTTTAGAGCAATTTCATAAAGTGTCCAGATGACATCAGCATCCTTACTTTTATCTTTCTTTTGTCCTTTGTTTGCTGGAATGGGAGTAATCCGTTTTGGACAAAAAAAGCAGATTAGTCATGCAAATCTCAGAAATGATTGACTTTCTGTAGCACTTCGCTTCTATAGAATTGGAAAGCAGGTTTGATATCAGCTCTCATCTGTTCCTTCCCATAAGCATCAAGATGTTCTGATATATTTTTTAATAAACATTTTTATTGTTACTTAATACTGGAATTTAAAGATATAACATTGTGTAGCTTTGAAGGTAGTTTTGTACCTTGGCACTCTGTTCAATTTACTTATTCAGAATTTAAAAACACTTTTTTCTATGACAACACAGAAAAGATATATTTGTAGGCACTGTTGTGTATTTGTGTATATCTTTAAAAATGTCTGAGGAGGCCCTTTCCTCTTCCCTGTGTAATCCAGAGCAGATGTTGCAAGGGAGTGGGCAAAGTTAATGAAGAAGGAATGTCAGAACTTGAATATGTGTACTTAATGATTTTTAAATATACAGTATATTTTTATATTTTAATCAAAATAGTAATTGTGCCAGTAACATAATGATGAAAAAGAAGTACTAATATTTTTGACAATAATTTTTATTGTTCTTTTTCACCTTTTATAGATATTGATCTTAATTTTAATAGTACTGTGTCATCATTATTACACAAATTATTATACAAACCAATCTCATGTAAATAGCTACATTTATATACCTTTATATACATTCATATACCTTGATCTATAATTTTTTCATCTCCTTTATCCTTATTTCTATTGTTCAACCATTTATACCAATTATCCCAAATTTTGTAATACTCCAACTTTTCTTTATCTTTTAATTTTAACGTCAATTTTTCCATTGCAGCATAATCTAGAATTTTTTGAATTATTAATTCCTCCAAGAGTGTACTATTTTGTTTCCAACCTTGTGCATATACTATCCTTGTTGCTGTCAAAATATGTAGTAAAATATATTTAATCTTTTTCCTATATTGCCCTTTAATTATTCCCAACAGAAACAACTCCCGTTTAAATTCTATTCAATCTTCCACTATCTCTTGTATCCATCTCCATATTTTGGTCCAGTACTTTTGGGATTCCTTTCCTCTTCCGTGTGTAATCCAGAGCAGATGTTGCAAGTGAATTAATAAACAATCAAACAAATGTGTTCCAGAATGATTAGAGAATTAGGTCCTTTAGAACAGGGAAGTCAAACTTGCATCGTCATGGCATTGTCACGTGACATGTCATGACTTTTTTCACCTTCACTAAAACGAGCGTGGGCATGGCCAATGACACATCCAGCCTATGGGCTGTGAGTTTGATACCCCTGTTTTAGAATCTTTTAATTCTCTTCATTTTGGAAGTTATAAATGGACGCACACTTGACTTTTTGACTCTTCCCTATGGAAGCCTCTGAAATAAAATAATGACATTTTGATTGGTGGTTTTAAGAAATCATGTTGAAAAAAATCATCTCTCTCTCTCTAAGATGTCCTGGAGGCTTTTATACAAGCTCTGGGTATTCAAAGACATATTTTGGACAGCAAGAACAGCTCAAGGAGAGGTTAACACATCAGTTTATATTAACACAAAAACTGTACTTGGTGTCCAGGATCCCAGCTGAGTCTCAGCCAAACCCTTCAATGAGGTGAAGCTTGAATGGCAGCTGACAAAAGTAGTGGGAAACCCCACATCCTCTGTGCTGTATAAAAAGTGCTCTTTTAAGATAAATTTTGATCATCAGCTCAATTTTTATGTAATGGGATGATAACCTGATTGTTTTTGTTCTTTCTTCTGCCTTATCCAACCTCAGTCTGTCTTAGGATCGCAGCCCAATCAGAATCAATTGCAAAATGCAGGTAAGAAACTAAATGATGATGTTTCTATTACTATCAAATAAATATTATTTTTATATTACTGAAGATCATTTTTTCATTAAATGGCTCTGTGAATGTCATCAGTATGTCTGGGTTTTGTGTGATATATGATGTGACCAAGAGAGCCTTTTATTGAGTCCAAGATTCGGTATCCCAAAATTTCCACATAATTAGTAAATATGAAGCTAGAATGAGGGACCTATTTTAACCCAAAGACCAAACTGGCATCAATTAAGCGTTCCTCCTTCTCCTCCTCCTCCTCTTTCCTCAACTGTTGAGGGAAGCATGCTTCAATATTACAAGAAACTTGCCAAACTTCAGTGCTCTCCACTGACCCCTCTTCATATAAAATTTTATAAAACAAACACCCATTTAATTATAAAGTGTTCAGATCAAGGAATTTAACAGTCCATAGTGCCTAATGTCTTAGAAATATATCCAGTGATAGAAATAGAAATATTGTCCAGTGATAAAATGCAACCTATCCTAAATTACAATTCTGCAGCAATATCCTATCTGGCTTTTCCATTTCAGGAGAGTCATTTGCAAAGACCTTGTTGCTGATAGTCTTCCAGATCAGGTTTAGCCAGAAGAAGGAAGGGAGGCAGGAGAGACAGAAAGACTGCAGATGCTGCTGTTTTGCCTAATAAAATCCTGTCACAAAAACAATGGCTGTTTTCTGGTTCAGCACCACTTTCAGAGGGAAACAAAATATAACTTGCCATCAGAGATACTACGCAAAGCTGATAATCAAACTAAACATAAACATTCTCTTCCGCTTTCAGCATTTGCTCTCTGTGACATGAAGCTTTCTGGATACTATAATGGAAGCGTCACCACAACCATCTCTGGGTCAGTTTGCTTAAACTGGTCAGACTTCCCTGATTACATTCAGCAGTATCCAAATCGGGGACTAGGAAACCACAACTACTGCAGGAATCCAGATGGGGGACCAACCCCTTGGTGCTTCTATCAACTCATTTCGGGAGCAACTGGCTGGGCAAACTGTGATTGTAGCCAGGGTAAGCGTCACAGGTGAAAATTGGAGTGGCATTAATAACTGTAAAAGGGGGCCTTAAAACTGTTAGGAATGTTTTAAAAAATAGAAGGAGCAACTTGATTTAAACAGAGCTTGAATCCAGATGAAGAATTCAAGTTTTCAGGAATGGAAATTGGATTACCAAAAATCTAAACTGAAGACAGTGTTACACAGAAAATGTACTTAATATTTAACCCACTGTATTTCCTCCTCCTCACTGGATTCTCTCTGGAAAGAAAGCGGTGGGAGAAAATAGAAAGAGGGAAGAAATTGAATAGCGTTTAGACCTCTCATAAACCATCAGGAAGTTGGGTGACCAGGAACATTCTTGGGGAAGGACAGTGTTCAAAAAAGTGAAGATGACATTCACAGCAGGGTTCCTCTGTTTTACATGAGTCACACATGGAAATGTTGGTAATTGTGTGATATGACCATTCTTGTTTTCTTTTTAATTGTCATTTTTTTAAAAAGAGTGATCGCATAGCATGAAAAACTGATGGCAAGTCGACCAAGGCAATCATGGAACGGATCCCATTTGATAAAAAGCATCCACTTAAGCTTCAGCAAAGTACTCTTGGCAAAGACAAATAGCTAGGAGTCTTTCTTTGCCAGATGGCTGAGATGGTTGACAGGTGCCTCTCAGACACTCAGAATCTTCAAGGCCATTGCCCTGGAAGAAGAAAACAGGACCATTGCAAAAATAATTTATGCAAGTATAACTGGACAATAAGGGGTCAAAAGGAAGAGAGGAACTGGACGGGGAAAGTTAATCGAACATCAGTTCTGGTTTTGCTTTACTGCAATTCACTTGACTTCTAATAAAACTATTCCTTTTGCAACAAATGTAGCCAAGGATCATTTCTACTTAGGAGTCCAAGATGAGGCAAGTCTGACAAAGTAGACTCCAAGGGATGTTGGGAAAGAAAGACTGAGACCTTATGAGCCCTCCTACAATACTTCCCAGCTGAAGTTTGTACTATGAGAAGGCGGGTTTCCTTGAGAATGGAGACAAAGTTAGAAAAGGATGGATGGATGTAACTTGCTTAGGAAGTAATCTCAGTAATCTTGCTCTGACAGATTCAAGCAGAGATTCAAGGAATCATCTTCCATGGAGCTTCTGCATTCCTTTAGCTGCACTTTCTCTCCTTGAAAGCAGCGTATAAGCAGACTCCAGTTTAATAATGGGTTTCACTCCCAAGGTCTATCCTTAAAGTCAAATTTGTACGTAAGCCAGAACATAATTATTGTTTAATACTGTATAGTATTGAGTAATGAACTTGAACTATATTTAACTTGAATCGTCATGCATTTAACTCAAATTTTGCTACAGTAGACTCCGTAGTTAACTATGAGTCATATTTAAACTCTAGGGTGTTCTCTAACTGGGGACTTGCTGTACCACTCTCTTCTCAGTGCAACCTTTTCATTCATCAAAAAGATTAAATGACATGGGATACAAATATAATAAATAAATATGGAAAAGTCAAGTAAAAAAGAAGACCGGTCTTATTAAGAATTCTCACATTGTGATTCATTACTGATAGAAACTAGCTAGCATTCATTTTCCTTTGCAACAGTCAGCTAACGTTCCTCTTCTCATTGCATAGAAAACATTGATAAAAATATGCGACAAATCTGTGCCCTCCCAAGCCCTGAGGAATTTCCTCCATCTTCCATGGCAGCTGAAGAAAGAGGCCTGATTTGGGAAGGACATTATGCAATCTTTTGCAGAGTCTGTTGACATGATTCTTTTGGTCTCTTTGCTCTGACAGATTCAGTGCGACTTACGGAAAGTGGCAGGGTGGAAGTATACTACAAAGGACTGTGGGGGTTGATCTGCGATGACGAGTGGACTGACTTGGATGCCAGTGTAGTATGCCAACAACTGGGGCTCAGGTAAGAAACATGTCATTGGATTGAGCCACCTGTTTTTCTCAAAAGAAATTAACTTTCTTGAAATACATATACATACATGCATATATATATATATATGGAAGAAAGCTATATCTTAACATGATCTATTATAGTCTGTGGAGTCACTGCACTTTCTGCTTTTGGACAGTGAAACTGGCACAGCCCTAAGACAGCATCCTTCCAGTCCGGAGCTGTTACCCTTACATCTTCAGTCTGCAAACTGTCGCGGGGATGAGAAGATGCTGTCCCAGTGCAGTTACCAGGAAATATTCAGAGCTTGTATCCAGGGAACTGCAGGAGCCAGTTGTGGATCATCTCAAGGTACACTTGAGGACATACACATAGATGATATTCCTATTCCATTTCTTTTAGCAAAGTGGAAAGTCAATAATCCTGAAGGTTTTGCTGTGTCTAAGCAAAACTACAAAATAATAATGTTTGGTGAAGCGGCATTGTCAATCCTTTGAGAAGATTCTTCAAGGATTCTGAAAGAGAATCAAAGCAAAGCAAGCTTGGATTTCTTTTCATTCTTTGTTATCCAAGACTAAGCTTACATTTTACTAATGGTTGCCACCCCTCTTCTCCAAGATCATCTCTGTGCTGCTGTACAGACATCTGTGACTGTGAGGGAGATGGGTCAAGTTGGTCTCCAAGATAAGTTGATCAAAGCCCCCTCTCCTTCGATGCTTGTCACAATGCATGTAAGGAGACAGGGTTTCATCATAGGGATACAACCACTATCTTGACTGTGCTTGAATGTTCCTGCACGTTGATTCTGAGCGTAAAGCACTGTAATGAATGAAACAACGAAAGAAATGAATCTGCCTGACTGAAGACCAATACCATCTTTGTGTGCTGTCACTGGAGAAACAGCAGTTTTAAGTTTCAACAATCATTTTATATACTCTTCTGGATCTCGGCATGGTATATTTCAGGTCAAAAATAATATGGTATAACATATTCAACACAAGCTTTATTTGTTTGTTTATTAAATTTATATGCCACCTATCTCATTATCTAAAGCAACTCTGGCGGCTTACAATAAAGTCATAAATAAAAAAACTATTAAAATTAACAGGGTAAGATAAAATTAGAAAATAAAGTTTGAAACTTTTCATAGGAACGCTGGTCCAAAAGTTGATAGCTTCCAAGAAAATTGGGGAAATTGTACATGAGGCAAATGATGAACTCTAAATGTTTAATTGCTGATAAACAATTCCAGACTACATGGACACACTTGTCAACTCGCGTAGCATCCCTGACCTGCTCTCGAGTTGCCATCTCGAGGAGGAATTGAATCTCGCAGCTGCATCAAGGAACTTGCATTTTACTCAAAACAAAGCATATTCTAGCCAGCAACGTAAAGGTCACATACACGGAAAACCACATAGGCCAGAAGGAGTGACTTTTACAACCCGCGAAATTGCTTCGTTGGGGAATGTGACACATCTTGGGGGAGTGGGAAACAAGGTCAGAGCCAAAGCACAAATTAAGAGTTGGTTCCACTTGGTCCATGCTGACATCAAGCTCCTAATAAATAACTGGATTTCTTTTGAAGCTTGGCCTGAGGCTCATGATTTAATTATGGCATCGGTCGGAACCGTGACACACACATTTTTCAGTCAGAATCTTTTGCCATTTTATTTAGGTGAATGGGGTGCTTTGAGTACATTGACCTGGTGAAGGATAAGCCCTTCTATCCCCTAAAATGTTGTTGGTAGATCAAACTGGTGTATATTCAAAGAAATACAATTTATCTTGTCAAGAAAAAGATTTGTAGTAGTAGCTGAAGGGAACTATTTCGTGTACTCATTGGGATTGTGTTGGATGGTATTCCTTTATTATCCTTGTTCTTTTTGATAAGCAGCTATAGGATCTCCACTGCGTCTGGTAGGAGGCAAAACAAGTTTTGAGGGTCGAGTAGAAATTTATCATGGTGGCCATTGGGGCACCATCTGTGATGATCAGTGGGATGACAAGGATGCTGAAGTGGTTTGCAGACACTTGGATCTCAGGTAATTTCTTTGAATGAGGACACTTAAGCGGGCAAGTGGTGGGCAATCTCTTACATATTGTTCAAAGCAGTGCTTTCTCTGCTGTTCACCAGTTCTTCTGCTGTGTGTTTTTCTCTTCCTCCCAGTGGATCCTCAAGAGCTGTGTCTTGGGCTCACTTTGGGAAGGGCTCAGGCCCAATCCTGCTGGATGAAGTTGAATGCTCAGGCAATGAGCTTTCACTGGACCAGTGCAAGAAGAGTGATTGGGGGAAACACAACTGTGACCATATTGAAGATGCTGGGGTTATTTGTGACCCCTTTGTAGGTAACTACTTGACCAAATATATGGCTGGTTTGAAGGCTGCCTTTATAACCTCTTTTTCTGAAAGTGGTATAGAAAGAAAGTTTTAGGGGCTTTTGCTGTTTTTTTCCCCCCTCATCTCTTACAACAAAGCAGAAGGAACAATCCGATTGGCAGGAAGCCTCCATCCAAGTGAAGGAAGGGTAGAGATCTACCACAATGGAAGATGGGGATGTATTTGTGATGATGGCTGGAAGACAGGAATCAATGCTCAGGTTGCTTGCAGACAGCTGGGCTTCAGGTAAGTGAGAACAGTCTATCGTCAATTGTCAAAATGTCACTGTCTGCAAATTAATTTCAACTGTGTATTCTGTTTCAATGGTCACAAATGTCTTGACTATGACAGGATGCAATATCTGAATTATACCACAGTGTTCTGTATATCAGTGTTTATTTAATGTATATAAAAGGGGAAGTCTGTGCTTCCCAGTGTTAGAAAAAGAGGAAAAGATTGGAAAAAAGGAAAGATGAGAGTAAGGAGAAACGTTAAAAGAGACCCAGTTTGGTCTAGTGATGAAGGTCCCAGGCTAGAAATCAGGAGACTGTGAGTTCTAATCCCACCTTAGGGATGGAAGTTGGCTGGGTGATCTGTACTAATTGCTTTCTTTTAACTCAATCACCTTGCAGGGTTGTTGTGGAGAAAATAGGAGGAAAGAATATTAGGAATGTTGGCTACTGAGCTATTTATAAAAACAATAAAGGCAGGAAATTAAATAAATAAACAATTCTGTTATATTTAATTCAAGCAGTTCCACTTAGAAGTTCCCCTGATTCATTAAAATGAATTTTAAAAAATAATATGCATTTTATAACTATCATATTGCTTGTACGTGTGAGCAGGGGGTTGGACTAAAAGACCTCCAAGGTCCCTTCCAACTCTGATATTCTATTGTTATGTTATTCTACCAGCTCACATATACAGTATGTGTTTGCAGGATCCTGAAGGATTTTTTGTAACAACTTCTAATGCAGTGTCCTACAACCCTGGCAATTTTAAGATGTGTAGATTTTAACTCCCAGAATTCCCCAGCCATTAGACTGACTGGGGAATTTGGAAATTGAAGTCC